TATATATACATATATACACTGCACAGTAGGCACTTCTAAACGTTTTACAGGAAGTCATGATAGTGAATGGCCAACAAAGTTTATAAATGTGAAAATTAACAAACAAAATCTAAACATGAGTTCCTCAGGGGAGTGGCCTAATTGTACAGGGGTGGTATGCTTCACCTCTGCTTAGGCTTAGTACTGTGCGTGTGGAGCAGGGGGTGGAAAGCTGTAATCCCAAAGAAAGCCAATAGCTTCCCTATCAGCAATGTAGAATCACCAGCAGTCAATGCTTTCCCCTTATGTTCCAAAAAAAGTTATTGTACAATTTAATGTCATGAATTCACCAATCAGAACAGAGAACACTTTACTGTGTCATAAAAACAAGAAAGACCCAATAGGAATACCTTGTATAACACACCACCTAGACTAGGGGAAATGACAATGTAACTTCTCAATATACATAGTTTGTAACATTACATATACAATTTACCAATACAATGCAGTCATTGTTACAGGCGGGGCTTAAACATTTCAGCAGCCAATCTCTGGGGATGGGGAGGGGCTAGTGGAGCTTTTAGAAGGGAAGGACCATTCAATGGCAGGTGGTGGGCAGGCAAAGACACGTGTTGGTTAATCTGCATCTGATAGCAATGAGCAGGAGGGGTCAGGTACCATAAGGTGAGCTATATGGTTTTCAATACCATTACCCTTCATTAAATAGAGAAGTATTGATGCCCCAGCCCGGGGTCAATGACATCAGGAACATCAAAGGTAAACCAAAAATGTGCCACCACCATAAGATACAAAACATGGCAGACTGACGCCCAGGTAATCTTCAATACACCACCAAAGCATCACTCTATTATAGAGGGCCCATAAAGAGCAACATAGCTCCATCTAAGGGGGATCACGTCCTCATATTACAGTTGTATATAACATGTAGAAGTCAAGCGGGGTGAAGTTCCCCAAATTCTTACAACCTGAAGTCACAAATAATGATACGCAAAGAGCACCCCACGGGGTGAGAAGAGAAGGGCAATGTGACTTCTACACTCTGTACACTGTGCGGTACATTATATATTCCTTACCACACATCACTGTGCTGTACATATATATTACTGTATAGCACTCCACTCTGCATGCGTTGCTGTTCATTATATACTCAACACTAAAACACTCAATACATTTTGAACAAGGCTTATACTCCACCTCACTACACTCTCTATACTGTGCTGTATGTAATGTATTCCACCATGACCCACTCTGTATGCTTTGCTGGAAATGACACGAATCACACCACTCCATTCTCTAGGCCAGGGCTGCCCATTATATACTCCATATCATCAACTCTGAACACCGTGCTTTACATGATATATTTCACGTTGATTCACTCTGTACACTATGCAGGACTGGATTTCCCACAAGGCCAACCAAGGCCCGACCTCGGGGCAGCAGGGAGCAGAGGGGCAGCAGGAGTGTCAAATTCCTATCTCCCGATGCCCAGGACATGCAGTTCCGGGTGCCGGGCCAGTGGTAGTTTTCTACATTTAGCCCGGCTTCGGGCAAGTAGGGCTAAATGTACAGCGGGGAAGCCCACTTGCATGCAGCCTGCCATGGGAAGGTGGTTTGGCGGGGAGAGGGGTGCATTGAAGAACCTGGCCATGGGGCAGCAGAGAGAGTAAATGCGGCCCTCACACTATGCAGAATAGTATATACTCCACACTGTCGGTCATGTGATTAGATGCTGCTCTGAGATCCTGAGGAACACTGAATTAGGTTTTACTTGCTTAGAAGAACATTACACCAGAATACAGCATTTATAGCACACACAGCGAGATTCTGTATATCATAGATGAACAAGCACATAGAAACTAACATTGCACTACAGCGCCATCTACATCTCAAAAGACATATTACGTCTCAATGTCAGTATATGATGTTGTATTTTCCAACACAAACCACTTCTTCCTGTGCACTGTGCAGTAAATAATATATACTTGATACCACTCATCATCATTATTTCTCCTTTAGGACTAATATTCTATATTACAGGACGGTCTATCCTGTGTACGGCCCTCTCTCTGTCATTATTGATGGTCTCTGTATTGCCATATTACAGGTCGGTCTCCTAGATGTCCGGATCTCTGGATCACCATCAATGACAAATGTTATTTCTTCTCTGAGATCCAGAAATCCCGTACAGACAGTGCTAGAGACTGTGAGGAACGCGGCTCCAGCTTGGCCACTGTGAAGGAGGAGACCATACGGGTCAGTGTCGGGGTCACATGGTGTGAGGTGGGGTGGAGAGTAGTTGATGGGACATATATTGGGCTCCTGTATAGGAATCACTCTCCCGCTTAGATTGGGGGTTCTAAGCCTGTTCTGCAGGGAGACCCGATCCATCAATGTGACGAGTGTCAGAATCCCGCTCTATGGTGGAGCTACAAACTGACACAGGACAGACAGAGGAGGATGTGATGAGATGAGACTTCTCCATGACATGAAGTTCTAAGTCCTGCACTCCATGTTTATATATTATATTCCATATGAGAGATAATGGGGGATTCTGGGAAAGAGACCCTGTCACCAGACCCTTCATTTCACCAACAATAAGATTATATGAGCATTTACCATATTGTATTGGCCTATAAATGCCTCTGTTGTACAGACATCTAAATGTGAATGGGGAATTCTGGAGAAGTCTTCCAGGCCTTATATCTGTATAACTCCATCTGGAGAATTGTTGGCTGGAAGCAGTGGAAGGTAAGGGGATTACAGATGAGCAGATAACTAATTTTCTGTTTCTTGTTATCCAGAGACTGGTGACCATCACAGGAAAGGAATTTTGGGTCGGATTAACCCAATATAACAAGCATGGTGAATTGTGGACAGGAAAATGGACAGACGGCAGCATGGAGTAAGTATCACATGACTTATATTCTCTTATGCAACAAACACACAACTCTCAGTAGCAATACCCCGGCATGATGCCTTGCTTATTCCTCATTCCTTTTCCTTCACAAAGATTTCCACACGCTCTGATTGGATGGCAGGACTGTTTCCTTATCTTTACTAAATCTTGATAGCCAATGTGACTCACACAAGTCATGGACAAGTCATGGGATACATACATATATGAATGCTCCGAAGGGAACTGTGTTTAGCCGGTGTTAACACTGTTGATTTATCGTAAGTTTATATGTGGGCTATATACACTGAGTGGCCGGATTATTATATACACTGAGTGGCCGGATTATTATATACACTGAGTGGCCGGATTATTATAAACACTGAGTGGCCGGATTATTATATACACTGAGTGTCGGGATTATTATATACACCGAGTGGCCAGATTATTATATACACCGAGTGGCTGGATTATTATATACACAGAGTGGCCGGATTATTATATACACCGAGTGGCCGGATTATTATATACACCGAGTGGACCGGAGGGCAGCGGAGGGAGCAGAGCCATATAAGCCGGTGCCTCCTCTATAAAAAAGAAAAAATAAGACCGGGTGTGTTTTTTTGAGCCCCAAAAAATATAAGACAGTGTCTTATTTTCGGGGAAACACGTATATATGTGTTTCTTTACATGCGTTGTACAGAACTGAGTCTATGTATCCTACAAAGCATTGGACTCTCCATCTAGGATGCAGTGTGAGTCCTATTATTGGGCTGCCATTGGAGGACATTGATATATATCAAGCAGGACTGCCTGTATGGATTTATTCCTGGGTTACACGCATACAATGCTTACAAGGGGAAAGTGTCTCCCGGATCTATAACCTTTCAGACCCACAACGGACATGCTACATGACCTAAGTCGGAATACACATCAGCTGCTGAACATCTTTTAATAGGATGTTGAATTTCTCTCTGGTTGCAAACACATTATAGGACATTATAGGACACATTATAGGACATTATAGGACACATTATAGGACATTATAGGACACATTATAGGACACATTATAGGACATTATAGGACATTATAGGACATTATAGGACACATTATAGGACATTGTAGGACATTATAGGACACATTATAGGACATTATAGGACATTATAGGACACATTATAGGACATTGTAGGACATTATAGGACACATTATAGGACACATTATAGGACACATTATAGGACACATTATAGGACA